TTTTTTTTTGAGACAGAGTCTCACTCTGTCACCCAGGCTGGAATGCAGTCACACAATCACAGCTCCCTTGCAGACTCAACTCCCTGGGCCTAAGCAACTGATCCTCCCACCTCAGCCTCTTGAATAGCTGGAACTACAGGTGTGCACCACCATACCCAGCTAATTTTTTATTTTTGTAGACAGGGTTTCTCCATGTTGCCCAGGCTGGTCTCAAACTGCTGGGCTCAAGCCATTCCCCTGCCTTGGCCTCCCAAAGTGCTAGGATTACAAGCTTGAGCCACTGCACCCAGCCTGATTTTTATATCAGAGCTCTTTCTGCAGTTGGCTGACTGAATGTCCCGAGGTGGGTCCCCCACTCACTGACCTGACCCTCATGCCCTGAAACATCTCGGTGCTGGTGTGGAAGGGCAGCACCGTGGTGGCACTGACGCCCGGACAGTCCAGCAGCCCCAGGGTCAGGCTCTCCATGAAGGCGAAGGCTGACGCTTTGGATGTGCAGTAGTCGATGGCGCCGGGGATGGCAGACAGAGCCAGCACGGAGTTGAGGCACACGATGTGGCCGTTCTGCAGCTCCAGCATTCGCGGCAGGAACGCCTTGGTGGTCTGAGGGCGGATGGGGTGTCAGTGTGGAGCAGCCACGGCTCTGACAACCCCTCCACCTTTCTCTCGGGGAGAACAGCCTGCCCGCCCTGGACACTCATGATGCTCTAGTGCCCGAGCCTTCCTGCGAGGGAGAGGGCTAAGGGCTCCTTGCCCCAGGACACTGAGCACATGTCACAAAGCCTGATGTGTCCTGGGGCTGGTCATTCCTTCTGTCCAGCCACCTTGTTTGTGGACATCCCTGCTGGTCTGAGCCCAAGCCCTGGCAAGGGTCCTCTCCCCTCCACCCTGCCTGGGGTCCCTGTATGCCCGGGGCTGGCTCTGGCCCGGGATAGCCTTACCCAGAACTGGCCCAGGGTGTTGATGTGCTGGGACTTGAGGAGGGCATCGTCGTCACTGTCCATCAGGCTCTTCCCGTGGACCACGGCAGCATTGTTCACCAGGATGGTGATGTCACCCACCTGCAGGTGAGAGGGGGCCGTGGGGCCATGAGCAGAGCCAGCCCCAGACCAACAATACGTGTTTTCTGTTGTTTGTTTTTGAGATGGAGTCTCACTCTGTCATCCAGGCTGGAGTGCAGCGGTGCAATCTCGGCTCACCGCCGCCTCCGCCTCCTGGGTTCAAGTGATCCTTGTGTCTCTGCCTCCCGAGTAGCCAGGATTACAGGCTCCTGCCACCATGCCCGACTAATTTTTATATTTTTAGTAGAGATAGGGTTTCACCATGTTAGCCAGGCTGGTCTTGGTCTTCTGATCTCAAGTGATCCACCCACCTCAGTCTCCCAAAATGCTGGGATTACAGGTGCGAGTCACCGCACCTGGCCGAATATACTTTTTAAAAGGGATACAAGCTACTCCTAAGTGAACGAGTAATTTCTGAGTTAATTTATGATCAATCAACTGATGTGTTATTTACAAGCTTTTCTTTATTCCTTCCTGCAGGCTACTTTCTGCCAGCCCAGTTCCAGTCAAATTGCACACATAGCCCCGGCAGCCACAGGGCCTGGGGAAGAGAACTGTCTCTCTGAGCACCAGTCCTGGTTTGCGGGTGAGGCTAATGCCCCACCAGGACTGTTCTGAGGAGCAGAATAATTTATGGCACACACTGTACCTGGCACACAGCATATTTGTAATAAAGGAGGTTACCACGACATAAAAACAGTGAACATTACCACATGCCAGACACTCAGGGTGGGTTTCCCTCTCTTGGAGTTCACTGATATATTTAGTCCAAACAGATGACTGGAGTCAGGAGAAGGATTTTCTCAGAGGCCAATGGGACATGTGCCCCGCCACGGTCCTGGAGTGAAACCCACGTGGTCTACATTTCCAGGGAAGCAACAGGGGATGGCTCCTGTTACGTAATCAACCCTAATCCCTGCCTATGTCACTGGGGCCAGCTTCATGGGAGAGTTCCCAAAGGTGCCCCAGACAAAGCCACTCTGCCATAAGCAGAGTTCCCTTCCAGGCCACATGAGAATATTCTCTCTGGCCAGAATCTGCCTGTGGTCAACTGTGCGAGGAACAGACCCTCCCGGGCTACGGACCTTCTCCCGGACAGCCTTGGCGGTCTGGTACACCTCCTCCCGGTTGCCCACGTCGCAGATGAAGTAGTGGCACTCAGTGCCCATCTGCCGAATCTCCTCCGTCGTCTCCTTCAGGCATTTCTCAGTCCGGCCCCAGAGAACAATCTGGAAGAAGAGAAAAACAGCACAGAGCAAATGGTCATGAAGCAAGCCACAGCGATGCAATGATTGCCATCAGAAATTCAGCATCTCGAGTGATTTGAAATTACTGACCTCCCTGATTCCACCCAAAGATAAAGAATACAACATAGATTAATAATATAACTTTTTTTTTTTTTTTTTTTTTTTGCTTCCAGTTGATTTTTTTCTTAGATAAGCCGTTCTCTAGTTGAGAAGGAAGACTGGTTTTTTGTTTTGTTTTGTTTTGTTTTTGTTTTTTGAGATAGGGTCTTGCTCTGCCACCCAGGCTGGAGTG